CGGGGGTCCGGCCTGGCCTGGCCGCCCGTGATGCCTACACACGCGGGGGTCCGCTCCGGGGGGCGGGGGTCCGGCCTGGCCTGGCCACCCGTGATGCCTACACACGGGGGGGTCCGCTCCGGGGGGCGGGGGTCCGGCCTGGCCTGGCCGCCCGTGATGCCTACACACGCGGGGGTCCGCTCCGGGGGTTGGGGGTCCGGCCTGGCCTGGCCGCCCGTGATGCCTACACACTCGGGGGTCCGGGCTGTGCAGGGAGGAGAGTGATTTCGGGACTCAAGGGCAGGGCCATCTTCTACCTTGTTTCCTGCTTTCCCGCGCCGCCCGCTGCGCTCCCCGCGCACTCGGACGCAGCACCTCCCACCCCCGCTCTCTCCCTCCTTCCAGCACCCGACTCCCGGCACCTGCGCGGTGGCCAGTGATTCCTTTCGTGGGGCTTTTACACATGCACTTTTCGGGTCTCCTGATGTAAGAATAGAGTGAGACGCGGCTGGCGAGCGGGGCGACGCGGAAACACTGGCGACGCTGACGGAGGGTTTGGCTCCGCAAAGTCGCTGACGCTTCCAGCGCCACCGCAGCCCGTTCACAGACTGACCTACCGTTTCCTGTCACCCAAGAGAAGAGACCACGTGTAGAAAAGCCGCCTTTGGGTGGAGGCTCTGCCTCCTCTCCCGGCCCCGCAGCCCCTCGCGGGCAAGACCCGTCCAGCACCGCGAACGTTCTCTCGGCTGCAGGCTCGGCCGGGTTCTCAATAACCGGCTCGCTCTTCCTTCACGATAAGATTCGCCGCGGTGGACACATCTGGGTCACCCGTGCCGGTGACAGAGGGACTGTGCCCCTGCCGGAGCGCGTCCGCAGGGACCAGCGTGAAGCGCTGGGGCCCAGTCCGCCCGGGTCGGGCCTGCACGTGCTTGCGGCCACGGCCACGGGCACGGGGAGCCTGGCTCCGCTGGGCGGGCACCCGTGGCGGTGACTGTCACCGACGGTTTCACAATCGCGAGGGCTCTCTCTCCGCCACTGTGGTTTGTTCGGAGCCTTGGTCCTTTAGGGCCCTTAGCATTTAAAGGCCACAGAGAGGTGGAGGCCAGAACATGAGCCGATGTGAGTGGCAGGGAAAGTCCTTCTGTGGGAGGGACGCAGAGCACCGTAGGGAGAGTCCTGTTCTCAGCCTGTGGTCAGATGCTGCTGGCCCGATGCGAGTCGCAGGCAGGGTGTTTTTCCTCCATTAACGAGAGTCCTCGTTAAGGGAGCTGTGACCACAGGGCTGAAGTGGGCCGAGGCCAGCGTGGGGGACATAACAGGAGGGGTAGGGGACCAGGTTGGTCGCATGATGGAGAGTGGGGGCCTCAGGTTTGAAGTTAGTTCTTACCTGGTGGGAGATGGGAACCACAGGAAGTTGAGGCAGAAAAGCAGCGGATGTGAGCTGCTTTGTGTGGAGACTGTGTCCCTTCCCGGGCCACCCTGCTCCTCTGTGCCTCCTCGGTGTCTGTGCCTGGGCACCCCAGGCTCTGAGTGCCACCGTGATCAGCTTTGGTGAACTCCCCCTGCCCTACTCTGAAAGGGGCACAGGAAGTGGGGGCTGCTGCCAAGTGGAACATGCAAGCTTTATTACTTTTTAAATGTTTGGAGAATGAGAGAGAGAGAGACAGAGTTTGAGCTGGTGTGGGGTAGAGAGAGAGGGAGATACAGAGTCCGAAGCAGGCTTCAGGCTCTGAGCTGTTGACACAGAGCCCGACATGGGGCTCGAAATCATGAACCGTGAGATCATGACCTGAGCTGAAGTCGGATGCTTAACTAATCAAGCCACTGAAGGTCCCCTGGAAAGTGCAGTTTTAATTCAGTTTCAATGTTTCTGAGTCTACAAGAGAAAACACAGTGAACAAAGTCTTTGATTCATACTTTAAATGGAGGTGCTGCAGGGGGAGCCTCATACCTGAGTCCAGAGACACCGGGATCTGACGAGAGTGACGCTCACTGACACCGGGCCACCTGGGTGCGCAGGGTGGACCTTCCAACATCTCTGGCCCAAATAGGAAACGATGCATTCAAAGTAAGGAATTACCTTTTCGTTGAAGAAAACCAATATGATTCACAAATTAAATTTTACTTTAGTGGGAAAATAGTTCTTGAAATGCTAAAATACAGACCTGAAATATCCTTCCATAGAAAAATTCCATCAGAGATAAGTCAGATTAGCAGTATTTGACATTATGTTGTTGAATTACACACACTTGTGTCTACGTCCACAATAAAAAAATATACTGAAACGTCATTTAGAAGCCGCGGGCTGGGTTCCTGGGGTAGCTGGCACGTGCCCTGCCTTGTAGGATGGGAGAAAGCGGGGTATACCTTTAAAAAGATTTTTGTAAATGAAAAATTATTTTTTTATCCTTAAATATCCGTTCCTGCTGATAGAAAATAGCAGAAAATAATTGATCAAATATCATCCACCTGGATTTCTGAACTCTGTGCCACCATTTTGCCCTTTGGCTGTTTTCTCAGTGGTCAGTTCTTGGTAAGCTGTATGCTGCATCCGATTTCTTTGGAGGAGACTTGAATGAAAACCTCAGATTCATTTGGCGGAGGTTCAGCCACCCACAGAAGCTTGGTTCACTCAAGTGGGCGGGTGATACGCTCAGGTCATGACCTGAGCAAACTGGATGCCCAACCCACTGGGCCACCCAGGCACCCCTCATACACTGTTTACTAAGAGGGACGATGTCTGCACAATTGTCTGGGGATTCATATGATTTGCATTTTTCTAGATGTCTGTCCTGAGGCAAGGGAAACAAAAGCAAAAATAAACTATTGGTACTACGTCAAAATGAAAGGCTTTTGCATGGCGAGGGAAACAATTAACAAAAGTAAAAGACAGCCTACAGAATGGGAGAAGATACTTGCAAATGACATCTGATGAAGGGTCCAAAATATATAAAGAAGTTATACAAGTCAATGCCCTAAAAACAAATGATCCAATTAAAAAAAGGGCAGAAGACATGAACAGACATTTCTCCAAAGAAGACACACAGATGACCAACAGACATGAAAAGATGCTCAGCGTCCCTCATCCTCAGGGAAATACACATCACAACCACAGTGAGATACCACCTCACGCCTGTCAGTAGCTAAAATGAACAACACAGGAAACCATAGACGTTGATGTGGAGAAAGAGGAGCCCTCTTGCACAGTTGGTGGGAATGCAAACTGGTGCAGCCAGACTGGAAAACAGTGTGGAGTTTCCTCAAAGTTTCCATTTCATTAAAAATAGAAGTACCCTATGATCCAGCAGTTGCACTACGTGGTATTTGCCCAAAGAATACAAGAACACTAGTTCAAAAGGATCCATGCAGCTTGTTGTTTATAACATTATCTACAATCGCCAAAATATGGAAGCAGCCCGAGTGTCCGTTGATAAATGAATGGATGAAGAAAATATGGTATATCTACAGTGGAGTATTATTCAGGTATAAAGGAAATGCTGCCATTTGCAACAACATGGATGGAGCTAAAGAGTATTATGCTAAGTGAACTAAGTCAGAGAAAGACAAATACTGCATGATCTGATGCATATGTAAGGAACAAAACAAATGAACAAAGGAAAAAGATGAACCAAGAAACGGACTCTTAACTACGGAGAACACCCTGACGTCACCAGAGGGGAGGTGGGGGGTGGGGAAGCGGGGAAGGAGGTTAGGAGGACACGGTCGTGAAGAGCACTGAGTGATGATACAATCGCAGAATCGCCGTACTGTGCACCTGAAACAGAACACGGCATGTTTACTGTTCTGGAATTCAAACAAATGGTTTGCCAGGGGCCTGGCCAGAAGCAGCACGATCACGTCTTGTGGAAGCGTGGCATCAAAGAAGAAGCACCTGTGTAAGGAATTCTGTTCCTTTCTCTTCTCTAATTTGTGCCCTTGTTCTAAACTCCTCAAATTGGGAAAAATTTGGATGCCTTAATTGTAGTTTTACACGCCTATTATCTGTGCTGAGAAAGGAGAGGTGATTTAAGAATAAATTCACATCTCCGGTAATTTAGTTTTCAGGGAAGCTTCTAGAAGCAGCTTGCTCATGCCATGTTCCTTTAGATAAACCAGTCTGGTGTCCTGCCGGGAGGCCATGTAAGAGCTGCCGGGGTACGTCTCTGCCTTAGCGATCACCTGTGGGGACCTGTGGGGGGTTAGTTAGACCAGGGCCAGGACCCCTGTCCTCTCTGGGTGGAAACCGCATGCAAGGGCCTGCGAGTCCACAGCTCCCGAGGTCGCTCTCCAGAGCCCTTGACTCAGTGTGGCTGTGCCCACCGTGGGGTCCATGCTGGATCGCTTTTGCACACGTGTCTCCTTTTCGATAATGTTGTTGTTCACCTTGTGTTTGGATCCAGCCCGTTTTCTGGT